ATTTTAAGCAAAAACTTAGGTATAATGTCAGCTCTCTCAATTTAAGACAGTTAAATGTTTCCAACATCTTTTGAGGTTCTGTAGCTCTTTGACTCAGTGCAGTTCTAGAAGAACACCACAAATAAAGTTACTTTGCTTTAAAATTTAAAGGCAGCCCAAGAAATACTGTTGTGCATTTTAAATGGTTAATCATGTTCATAAAAACTAATATTTCACTGGAAGAGTAGACTAAGCTGGGAGTTTAGAAAGTTATTTCATTTGAAAATTGCTTTGGAAAATAAATTTTTTAAGAGTAGTTGTGTTTCCACATACAGAAACATGTGTTTCGTAATCAGAAAAAAACAGGAAAATTAGCCTTTGTTAGTTTCAGTATGCTTGCTTACTCATACCATATCAAAATTAGTAGTCCATAGTCAAAATTAAATGGTAAGTGATATATTTGCAAACTTAAATTTTTGGACTGGTTTTTAACTGTGAAGTTTTCTCTCTGTCAACGCTCTCAAAGGGCGTTTTTTCAGCATATTTTCAGTAATAATCAAATTTTTGAGAAATTAGTTTTAATTACTGCTGGTTACATTTTTTAATTGACATTGATTGTTTTAGTGCTAAAATATAAAACTCCTTCCTTCTAGTACCGTCCCATTGGGATCTGATCAGATTCTTCTACGAGGAGCTCAGTTGAGAAATACTCAGTGGGTTCATGGAATAGTTGTCTACACGGGACATGACACAAAACTTATGCAGGTTTGTCACTTGGATTTTCTCTAAATTATCTGGTTTGTTACCTTACATTGCCATTACACAGCACAGAAAATCCTTTCAGTAAACATGGCTAGATTCAAAAGTAGTTAAAATGTCAGTAATAGAGCATATTTCTTACAAAGTAAAACCAATAAAAATAAAGCTGTTTTTTGCTATTAGTCATTTAACCACAAAGTAGTTTTTCCACTAGAAAGCATATTTGTTGATCTATTTTGTAACTTGTGTTTTGAGAACTATTTTATTAGCAAGTTGGATCATTATAGTTTGCCTGTTCATCTTTTTTATTTTTGACTGCTCCTAAAACTGCCCTCATGGAGCTTTCTTTCAAGTACAAGGTAAGCATTCTTGTCAGAAAACAAATTGAAACTTCATTTGCAAAATGAGGAGGGAAGAGAACCATTCTCAGACGATTAAATTACTTTCCCTAGTGCTGTTTGAATTAGCAAAATTGGGATGCATTTGTTGAGAAAAAGAATGTTTTCAGATTGGTTATGCATGTCTTATTGCTTTTCTGATTTGTGAAACAGTTATTTGAAAAAAGTTTATTTGTGTTAGCAATTGTCTTCTGTAGCACTGTTAAGATGTATGGACATTCATTTTTAGTGTTCACTGTTAGCTGTTGCTGTTATGAGTGTTCCGTGTGATTAAATTGCTCGTGATGAAACTCTGTAGCTCTAATTCATGGATTTACAAGCTCCTGCCTCTTTTTTTTTCTTCTGAGTGAAACTGTTATGTCATTTATGAGGATGATGTATTTGGGATAATATTTGGAAAAGGATGTAGTAACATGGAATTTGAAAAGTGAAAACTGTATGTACTTCTAATATTTAATAGCCACTGTTGTTTTTTGTCTTTTGCAGAATTCAACAAGTCCACCTCTTAAAATGTCTAATGTGGAACGAATTACAAATATTCAGATTTTGATTCTGTTCTGCATCCTTATTGCCATGTCTTTGATCTGCTCCATTGGTTCAGCTATATGGAATCGAAGGCATACTGGAAGAGACTGGTATCTTGATCTAAATTGTAAGATGTAAAATAATATTTTAGTGTTCGTTTGTCTTTCATATTTGAAAAAGAGGGGGATTACCTTTACAGAGCATGGTTTTTATCAGTCTGTCTTTATTGGTTGTTGACTACAGTCATTAGGTTAGGTATATCACAGCAAGTATAAAATTTACCTTACGGTGCCATTTGAGCTCTTGCTAATTTCAGGAAGGGGAGCTTTGTTGTGTGCTTCTGCATCTTGGCAGCCTAGCAAGGGCTGTATCAGCATTCCACTGGCATAAACAGCTTCCTGGACTTCAGACTAAAGCCATTTTCAGCTATTACTGATAGATTACATTTTAAGCTGCATTGACTTTTCTGAATTTTTAAACTCTCTCATCCCAGGAAATTATGCTGTGACTTTATAATTTTTACCGTACAGGGATCTAAGTAATTATAGGCTGCCAACATCAGATCTTAGCAAAGTGCTCCTAAAGAAGATAAAACGGGTACAAAAGATCTCCTCTAATATGTTTAACTTGGCAGCTGTAGTCACGGTGGATGCAAGGCAACGTGGTGTTATGTGGGCCTTCACAGCAGCATGCAGCATGCTGGCATAATTTGACCTTCAGTGATGGAAGTAGATTTAAATGAAGTTTTCATAAATATACTTTGTGGTCAATTATTCGTTTTTTCAGAATTTCTTATGGGTGGCCCTAGAGCCCTTTTTACGTAGACAGTGGAACCAGAAATAGGCTTTCTGCTCCTGGAACAGTGTCTTGAGTACAAAGCTGCTGAATGTAGTCATCAAAGCAGGGATTATGGGGGGTGGTTTGGTCAGTTTTAAAAGAAAAATCTTAGAATTCAGATTTGAAGGCACTCTCCTAAAGTCTTTGTTGAACGAAACAGTTGCCTGCATTTATGATGTCGTTGTTTGAGAACGTTGCTTCTTTTCTTTCTGATGCTGAGGAAGAAACGTTTTCTTAAAAAAAAAAAAAAGAAACTTAACTTTCCCATTTCTCCCTTTAAAAATACAAAACTCAGAAATAAAGAGTTTATCATTTAGTTCCTATATACAGATATTTCCAGATTATGATCTTAAAATGTAGTAAAATAGAGAATGGCTGGTAAGTTTGCTTTTGAGAAATTGGAGAAGGTCTCTAAATGTGAACTGCACATTGTAACAGAGATTCTTAGCTCTTATGAAGTTCATATTTATAGGAAATGCATCTTATAATTAATTCTCAAGTTTATTCTTAAACACAGAACATTTTAAAAGTCAGCATTTGATGCAATACTTTGAAAACAGTGTAATTATGTACTTTTAAATATGGTCTTAAATGTGGGGGTTTTTATTTGCCTTTTTTTTTTTTGGCAGATGGTGGAGCAAGCAACTTTGGATTGAATTTCTTGACTTTTATAATTCTCTTCAATAATCTTATTCCAATCAGTTTGTTGGTTACACTTGAAGTTGTTAAATTTATCCAGGCATATTTCATAAATTGGGTAAGTATTCTTTTTATAATAATTGACTTCTAAAATCAAGTGGTTTACAAGTAAGTGAAATGATTGCTTGTTTATGTATACACTTTTTTTCAGAATTTTTCTTAATGTAAATAGTTAAGTATGCATTTTATTTCTTATTACTGGAATCTGAGAAGGTAATAATAAATTATTTTAATTAGTGCTTTTGTTCCCAAAAAATATTTTGATTCAGATATATGTTTTTATGTGCTTTGTACTTTCTCATTATTGATATTCAGGTATCAGTTTCATCCAGAATGAGCAGAAGAAAGTGTTTTGCAGTCCAGTGGAGTTTTGTCCAGTTTAATTTTTTCTTTCTAAGTGTAGCCCTTGTTTTTTTAGTATTTTGCAGATTTTTCCCACCACCACCATAGTTTAAGGGGGGACAGTTTTTACAAAGACAGTATCTGTTGATATTATCTCTTACAATATATATAAAGATCACTTTGATGTCCTTTAATTTTTTTCTTAATGAATTAATGGGGGAAAAGGAGAGTTCACTCTGTCTGGGGGGTGGATCAGGTATTCTCCTTTAAAGCCTTGTATGTACTTTTAATAGCTTGCCTTCAGTTTTTCTATTTTTTCCAAATGTAAATTAATCATACCATTCTGAACTCTTAAACCTGATTCCTTGATTGAATGTGTGAAATAGATTTCTGCGTGTGAGATTAGACGTCATGCAGATGTAGATAAAAGTGTATGTGGAGTAGCAGGTGAATTGGATGCTTTATTTTAAATCTTTTTGTGAGCAGTCAGCTGGTTTAAATTTATTTTGTGCAATAGAGCAAATTCTTGACAAATAGGAGAATGCAATTAAATTCTTCCTTTATGTTCTGTATTCAAAAATAAATATTCAGCAAAGGCTCACCCATTTTGAATGTGTAGTTGGAAACTGTTTATACAACAAATCCAAAAGATGGCTTTAACTTCCGTTCCTGCCCTGATTTCACATCATGAGGGATTAGCTGTCTTTAATTTATCTTAATCTGAGACTTTGGGTATTTAGTATCTTAAACATTATCTTTGCGTGTGCATGTCATATTGGTATAGAGAAGTTGGCATCTGCAATCTGTTGCACTATGTTGCCATACTTCACAGTGTTTTAATCTTTTAATGTATTTAAAAATGAACTCTGAATTTGATAAACAAAACAAAGCACTACTTATCATGTACCTTACATTTATTGTGTACTCTTAAATTTATCTTCATGGTTTTATCTCAAGGTATATTCATCTTGCTATGTAGAAATGACTGACTGTGCATACAATATAAATAGATAAGACTGACTTCTCTAACTGTTACAATGTAGTATTTCTGCTTGTTGCTAAATCTGTTTTAAATGCATGGGTACAGTTTTTCAGTAATACAGATTACTGGAAATAATTGGAGTAAAATCTCAAAAGAGTAATTTAGATTTTTGATTTAAAGAGGAAATTAATTTATTCTGGAGACTTTTGGAAATGATCCAATTGTGTGTGTGGCTTCCCATGTTGAAATAATCATAAATAGATAACTTGCATTCATGTTCGGTCTGCTCTTCTACACTTACCTTTTCTATTTGTGCACTAGATTTTTTGTAATAAGTTACCGAAGACTAATTTTTAGATATATATACTTTTTTAAAAATCTGTAGGACATAGACATGCACTATGAACCTACAGAAACTGCTGCGATGGCTCGTACTTCCAATCTGAATGAAGAACTTGGGCAGGTAGGAAAAAATCACTGGTTCTAACTCTGTGTATTGAAATTATTCATGTGGTTTTACAATCTAAATTATTAAAATAATGTGAAGATGTATTTCAAAAAACTTACATTCTTGCCTTAGTCTTTACTTATTTCTATTGTCTTCATTTTGTCAGATATTTTTGAAAACACTTCACATTATGTGGGAGTTAAATTTTCAAAACCAGTATTAAATGAGCAAACTGTTTTATTTATCAGTGTGCACGTGGTAATCACAGAATGTTGAAGTGTATCATTAAAGTTACAAACTCAGAGGAATTCTGAGCATGAAGGTAGTTGCAGGTTAACATGTTCTAATATTGGTCTACATAGTGGAGGACAGGTCCTTTGTGTACTGGGTTTAATAAGTATGTACACACAGCAGAGTTTTTGGTTCTTTTCCTGGCCTTAATGGGGAGTACAGTCTCCTCTAGTGAGGAGAATTTGAATCTTGGCTTTCCTTCTGTCTCACTTTACACAATTTTACCTCTTTGTTTCTCTGCAGTTAGTTACTTGCATTCCCAGACGCGTTCCCTTTTTTTGAGTTTGATAGTTCTTCTCTTCATTTTTGTAAGCTTCTCATCAAAGTCTCCTTCACCACCAAGATCTAGTCAGATTTCTTGGGATCTCCACTTTCACATTTTGTCAGATTTGTAATTTGAGCAGATTTTTGTAGGGAGACCAAAGGAGAAGAAAGAGCAAGTCTCTTCTCTGAAGTACGTGGGGGCAAAAATGAAGAGAAGATTTTCCCCAGGCGATCATCAGGTTTATAAGAAAGGCAGAACTTTGATGTTGGAAAGAAAAGGTGGAGTTTTCTTAGCTGCAATTCCTGCTTTCCCATTCTATCCACACACACAAAAAATAATACAGTCTGAGGCATAAACCTGGCATGGAAGATTTCTTCTAACTGTTTGTCTAAGTCATAATCCCTCAGAAACAGAAAATAGGAGATGCTGACTAAATTTTACTAATACATAGCCTTATTGGCTCCATGTATATGCAGTTAATTCCTAACATGGTGGGGTTTTTCAATGAGAAATAGATTTTAATGAATTAAAATTAAAATTTACCTTTGACTAATAGAGCCTTTGTTTCATCACAGACCATTTCATTTCTTCATATATTACCTTTTTTCTTAATATTAGGTTTGAACTAAATTTCAATATATATCACTGATGCATGTATTTCAACTTCAGTTTTTAAAGTATTGTAACTTGTAGTTTCTGGAGAGGAAGGGTTTGTGGTGTTAGGGAAATATAGGACTCCTGGAGTAGGTAGACAGGAATGTGCTTCTTCCATTCCTGCAATTTAGCATTTCTGAACTGCTGGGTTTTTTTTTACTGATGTTTTGACTTTTAGAAGATATTTGTACATTATAAAGAGGAGTTTATAAATGCATATAGATACTTTTCTTTTACCATATTGCTTTAGGTCAGAAATGTAATATTATGTACTGTATTTTTTTCTATAAACTATAAAGGTTGCAGAACTAGCAAAAATATTTAGTGTATTGATAGTCAGGAATTGTACTAGATATGTAAACAACTGCTGAATGTTAATGTATAATGAATGTTACTGTTCATTTAGGTCAAATACATATTTTCTGACAAAACGGGTACCCTGACATGCAATATCATGCAGTTTAAGAAGTGTACTGTAGCCGGAGTTACTTATGGGTAGGTATTTTTATATACTTTATCTGTGTGCCTTTCTTTTCCTCTGCCTGTGCGTATGTTCTCGTGCATTAATTGTATAGTTAAAATAAACTTACACCTGGCAATATATACAACTAGGAGTCAGTTTTTTTGTGAGTATGAAACATGACTTGTTTCATACAAACATGACTCAAGTGATGAGATATCATCACTTCAGTCATTTTGCAAGGAGGAACAAGAATAAAGTTTAGATACTAAAGGCTTACGGCTGCAACACAACTTCAGTATGCATATTTTTTTTTTATCACTCGGTCTGTTTAATGTTATTACTAAAAATATTCTTCCCTCATACTTGCAAAAACTTGTATCATTGTCCATGCTTCATATTTTAAGTAGGCACATAGTCTTGTACAAAGCAATATGCAGGATTAACAGGAATTTGAATTTCAATGCTGTAGCATGATCTGCAGTACTGTAGGCATCATTCAAGTGGCTTTTAAGAATACTGTTACAGTGGCATAACTCCAGGTATCTATGTTGCTATTAAGAAATGTCTCCAAATAAATGCAAACAAAGCATTTTTGTATTACTTTGTCAGTAGTTGCAGCCAACTTCTTCCACAGAGTTTGCAAAAAGCCTCAAACTTCTGAGGCTGTTTACTTGGAAAAAAAATCGTTAGAGGAATAAATAGAGCAGAAGCATCTACACTGTAAATGCCCATGTCGCTTACCAGTATGTGAGATGCTGGACCATTCAGTAACAGATAATCTAGATGCATCTAAAACTGGGCATAGATCAGGCAGAGGTTATGAAATTAAGTGTTGTGCATATGCTAAAGATGATTTGGCTTTTGTGGCTTTATCATTTGGATCCCTTTGAAAATTCTAATTTTCAGGAGTCTAATCTAGGCTTTGTTTTTTAAAAAAACTGAAATCCTTAACGCATTAACCACACTGATGGTATTTACAGTCAACAGTCGTAATAAAATACAGTTCTAACCCTGATATTTCATATATGTATATAAATGTGTGTGTTTGTATATATAGAGCTCAGTTTCAACCATTTAAGCTAATTTTATTACTTCAGAGAAACTGCTCTGAGCTAACTATTTTCAAATTCTTTATGTACCAGTTTTTTAAGATAAAAAAATACATTAACTTAATGGCACTTAAAGTCAGTATTTGTTACTCAGTTTGTTATAGATCTTCATCTGAAATTGGTTTAGCACAAATTCTAAAACTTCTCCTGTCTGAAACCTAGGTGTAAATGTTTATTTAGAAAAAACTCCTTGATTTTTTTTCTTGCTATACTTTCCAAGCTCCCATTCACCCCATTTTGAGAAGACGTAAGTCAGTTTTATGATTAGCATCACTGTTTAGAAAGCAAAGTTTCTCTTTACAGTGAATAGCTATCACAGCATCTCTCATAGCTACTTGGAGAACAGTCACTCAGTCTTTTTCTATTGATGCAAATAAGAAGTTGGGAACGCAGAAAAGGGTAAAAGTGACCATTCCGTCTCCCATGCCTCTTCTTTCTAATAGTGTCATAAACTGTGATATATTCAAACTTGTGTTATCACAGGGCAGAGTCCTTTGTGTGCTATGGCTAGCTCTGTTCATCTGTTCATCTGCATTTTGTGACAAGCTGCATTGACATGACTTCAGATAATTAAAAAACCACCTTTTGTTTAATGAGAAACTGTAACAATGTATATGTACTGAAATAGAAAGCAATATTTGTAGAGGGCAAATGCCTTTGTATCTGCTGGTGTAAGTTAGTAAATAGACAAGCTTTCAATTTAAAAATAAAAAGGTCATTTCTAGTTTGAGGCCTCAAGAGAAACATGTTTTTGCAATATTTTATTGTTATCTAGGCACTAGCAAAATACTTTGTTGAAATACCTTTAAAAATTTGTAGTAATTTCATTAACTAACTTTTTTTATACATGGTCCAGTGTTTTAGCCTTTGTGATTCTTTTTCTTCTCCCTGTTTCTGTTCTTCCCTTACTTCTTGTGCAGCCATTGCCCTGAGCCTGAGGATTATAGTTTTCCTTCAGATGATTGGTAAGCTCTAAAAATCATTTAGTATGTGGTGTTTGTTGAAGATTCAAGTTTAAAACCAGTGAGCGAGGTCTTTAGAAACAGAGCTAAATGTGAGATATTTTACTAAAAAATTATTTTATCTTCAAACTGATGCAGACCGACAGTCTTACACAAATTTATGCCATCAGAATTCTACAGCATTAGGTTGTGTACTCAGAAATAGAATTGCTAATAGGGTCACTGAGGTATAGTAATGTTATTCTACTGACAATCCTGTACAATTCAGAATTGCTTATTGGAGAGAAAGTTTCATCATTTGTTAAGGTAGTTGGTATTATTGTAACTTTGATCACACTTTTCTACTCTTACTTAATAGTAGGTCAGTAATAATCTCTAACATGTTTGGAAGAAAAGTTTGTACTTGAGAGGGAAAAATATGTAATAAGTTATTGTAATATTTTACTTGCTACAGATAGATTTAGGTTATTAGCACTACCTAGTTCTTCACTGAAACTGAGATTAAATCACCCAAATACGCTTAGGGCCAACATAAATGTCTCAGCAGGTACCTCAGGGAAGAGGCTGGCTTCTGTTCTGCTGTCTGCATGATGCCACCTTTTTCTTCTTCTTCTTTGTACTTTCTTAAACAAAATATTTGCAATACTGTTCAAAATAATCTCAGATCAGGGATTCATTTACATTCTTTAAATTATCGTTACTGCATTTGTCGAAAGTCACAGTAAGGTAAGTCACACAAAACAGTAATGTGTTGTCATCTTTAAAAAGTTTGAAGGAAAAAACTTTTTTTGCTAGATTAAAATCAATAATTATTTCTTTAGAATAGAAAAAACCCCACAACTGAAAAATCTGCCCCACATACATATAAAAGAGTGACACAGCAGTTTGACACAATATATACTTGCACATGTTTTTCCTTTATTACCACTGAGAATCTGGAAAATATAAGTCTTTCTGTCAGAAAGCCTTAAGCAAACAAAGCTTAAACATTAGACTCTAAACAAATTTAGTGGGTCTGAAGTTAACATTTGGCACTTCAAGATTTATTAGCTTGACTTGTAAAAAAAAACTTAATGAATGAGGATGCTTTGAATTTCTCTCTAATACTGGGTTTTTAGAAAAAATAGTCCTTGAATGGTTATGGAGGGAAGGTACTGCAATTTTATATTCCCTCATGGTGGTGCAGGACTAAAACAGCTTGCTTTTCTTTTTTAATAGAGAATCTTTAGACTGCCTTTGATGTATATGGCTTATCCTTCAACTTAAATCACTGAATGTGTTCGCTCTCTTCCATGATTATGTGAGCCAAGGCAAGATCCAAATAAATGGAAAAAGAATCCTCAAACTGTGTTCACGTTTCAGCACTCTTTTGTTTCACTGACATTAAAACTCAACTAGATTGTCTTAATACTCAGCTGCAGTAACAAGTCTTCCTAAAAGTATCTACATTTTTGAGCTCTGAGCTTCAGCCAGAAGATTTGTGCAATTTGACATATATTAGTGTATGACTTTATCTTGCCAGAACCATCTCCACCTCGCATCTCTCCATTCCCTTCCTACTTCACCGTTGTTTCATCTTCTTTATCCATTGGTTTACTAGGTTCCTTTCCGGTTGTGAGAAATAGAAAACAAATCCTCTCCATATGACTTCTGAACTGGTGTCTTAACTCAGTTTGCTTACCCCTTTCAGATACCAGACTTTCTTTTCCACAAACATTTGTAAACCTTTCCAAAACTGCTAATTTTTCAAAGAAATGTAACCTTTTCAGGCATATCTTGTTCTGAGTCCCTTCAATAATCTCATTAAAGCGTTCGAAAGACAAGAAGCCATAGTCTTACATTGTAGATTTGTATTTACTTCATCTTGCATTAACTGAAGTCAGCAGAGCAACTTCCCTGGATTTGAGTGTGTTTATATAAATCAAGGTTTCTTAGAATTAGAGAAACTTTGAACATGTGAAACAAGTACCTTTTCACTTTTTTCTCACAGTATGTATGCATGCAGCCTTTATTGTAACAGCTAAAACCAAAACTTGTGTTTGACCATAGCATAGTAGTGTTGATGATTTCTATGATTTCATATTGCTTTTTAAGAATATGCTAATGACAGTCTCTTTTCTGCTAATTATTTCTAGGCAGGGCTCACAAAATGCAGAAGAAAAAACATTTAGTGACTTGTCATTACTAGAAAATCTTCAAAGCAGTCATGTAAGTTATATAGAAATAATTATCAGTGTTTTATGAAATCAAACCATCCTTGCAGTAAGTCAAAAGATGATGTCTTTTGAAGGAAAATAAATAAATTATGTATTTTCACAAAACCAGCATCCCCTCAGGCATAGTTTTATAATTGTTTGTTGCTGGTAATGTGTTAATTAGATCCAGCCCTTTGGTTTTCCTTTTTTTTTAATTGTATGATTCAGTTGTTGTGAGTCTGAAATACAGTTCTTACATTCTTCATTGTATAGGTGTTTTAAAGTTAGTCATGCTGATCATTTGATGTCATGACATCCATTAAAGCTTTCAAGATCAGTCAGGTTAACTTACTATCCTAATATGACTCGGTATTTCTGTGCCCAGGCTTAGATGAGAGTCAGGAATTAAGCACTGTTTTTGTGTACATGCTTCCACGAGCTTAGATGATCAGTTCAGATGATGAAATGAAACAAGCATTCTGGAGGCTGGTGTTTGCCCCAGAGAGACAGATTTCACAGAAAGTTAATTGCTTAGTTTGTGAATTAGCTGAGAAACAGTACCATCATTACCTTTCTGTTTGCACTTGTACTAGACGTTTTTGCCTAGTCCTAACCAAGAACACCTATCTTAAATAGTGTAAGCATTTGTTCTCTTTTTGAAGAGTGTAAATAAGTTACTCCTTCCTTAAATTTTTTCTTCCTGGGAGGATAACTTCAGAGTACCTGGCAGATGGTGGTGTGTTTTGTTCCTACAAATGGGACAGTCTTAAGTGCTGGACACCTAAGTGCAACTCTCAAGTATATGTAAAGCAGAGAGAGCTCTTACATTTACCTGCACAGGCCATTTTCAGTGCTGGTAACATAGACTGCTTGCAAGAGGCATCATCCTGTTACTGCTGTAGTCCAGAGAATACTTGGTGTGCAGGTAGTGAGATCTTGAGAGATTTCTGGTAGATATGTAGTATTAAGTATACATAGTATGAGCATACCAGCTATAAAAATGCATTTATATGCATCTTAAAATTAAAAATTCAGGCACGTTCGAAGAGGGGTTTCACCAATGTATGTTAAATGTGTTCTGAAGGGCTTTGGAAAATAATTCAGCCTTCTGAATCCATCTTAGAGGATCTGGGGGCCCTTAGGGGAAGAGGACAGCAACCTGCTCCCATTAGTGTTTCTGCACTGTGGAAAGTTAGTTTTAAGTTAGGTTTCCAGATATTACTGTATTTTATAGAGTAATTATAGTGTTATCTTCATTGTTGACACTCTTAGTCTGGCACTAATCTGAAATACTATAAATAGTAGTAAAAGACTCAGTTGAGGTGGAAGCTGCTTTGAGCTTATTTAGGGGAAATGCTGTGGTTTCTTTTGGACAGCCATTTCAGAGCCAGTTATTTCAGTTTGCATGCTTCCACTGTACTGTTAAGGTTTTTAGCTGTATTTATCAAAAACAATTGTCTTTGTTGCTTATATACACTCTTCTCCCCTCTTTTGGCTAAGTCATTTAAAATTGTTTCAGCTTTGTAGTGACTAAAGTGCCCGAGACATTAATCTAAATGTCTTTCTTCAAAAGCTGTCTGCCTGACCTTGCAGCATATTCCACATGATTTTCACTTTTGGTTACTACATCTTTCTAAAGGTTTTTTAAAAGTGTTGTCAAATACAGTATTAGAAGTAATGTAAAAGGGAACATTTTTACTAAAAAAAGAATATCCAAAGAGACTTCAGTGAGTAAAGTAAGTTTTTTTCAATCGAGCAGACTTACCTTCCCTATGAAATACTCATTTGAATTATATTGTTTCTGATTATCTATTTATTATTTGTTATGACAGTAAATGCCACTAAATTATATAGCCTTTAGTGAAGTACAGCAGCAAGAAGTTATTCTGCATGCTGAAATTAGTGTACAGATAAAACAGATAATGTGTGTTTTGTTCAGTTGGTGATAGTTTTTGAAGAAAGGAGAAATATTTCGCTAAATTTTTCTTCACTAATATTTGTCCATATCTATTACTACATTTCAGTTAGTTGGTTAAGTTATTAATCACATACTGACACTATTTTTTTTTAGCCAACTGCACCTATAATATGGGAGTTTTTGACAATGATGGCAGTGTGTCATACAGCAGTTCCAGAAAGAGAAGGTGATAAAATTATATATCAAGCAGCATCTCCAGGTGAGACTCAAGTCATTGAGTGAACTTATAGTAAAGTATTGTATCAACTCAACAACCAAATTTTATTCCAAATTTGTTGTTTCTGAAGTATCTTTCAAAATTAAGAGTAAATATATCCCTCACAAAAATAATTGGTGTCAGTTAAAATCAGGTTTGTCAAAAAGGGTTTTAGACTTTTCTAATTTGCTTTAGAAAATACATATGGATATCCTGTGGATTACATAAGGGCAAAGGGTGGTTAACCATACAGCTTTCCTAAGGTGTTGTCAGATTGCTGTGGAAGTGTGAAGGAACTGCTCAAACTCAAACAGAAATAAATCCAGGAAACAAATAGATGTTCTTGCTTGTGGACCTATTCTGTAGTTGATAACCATGGTATTGATTGAGAACAAATACTGTTTGTAATCAACAATGAAAATGAAATGTTTTTAATAGATGAAAGTTGTGATAAGTTCCACTAGATAGCGATAAAAGATTATAGTGCAAAAGGTCTGGTTCAATCCTACTGTGGTTCATAGACAATTTTTGAATCCAGGAAACAATGAAGCAAGGCAAAATGGTTAAAATATATTCAGCTCTGCTTATAACATGTTCAATGGGAGAAATGGCATAAAGCTTAGAGTCTCCAGCTTTCCTGTTCCCTGTCTGTCCCAGCTCCTAGGTGTCTATCTCTCTAAATTCTGTCCTTCAACAGTTGGATAACAAGGGCAGAGGCAGGGCCATAAATAAAGCTAACTGGGCCATGGCAATGTTTTATTGGGCACTGTGACCAAATTCCATTGGTGAGACATTTGGAGAGAACCAGTGACTACGAGAGACTGGGTTGCTGCTTGAAGTGTCTCCTAAATGTAGGCATTGAAATTACCTCTTATTTACAGGAATGACTTAACCACTCTTTTCTTCTAAAATAGAACTTACATAAAAAGAAATGTACCTTGTCCAGTGCCCTGCTGAAGAAGATGCTTGCCTAGGTGCTTTGAAGAGGATGTTCTTGTTACTGAGCTTAGAGGAGTATTGCTTTGGGGCTTATTTTCTCTGAACTGTAAACTCATTTAATCAATTTTAACAGGAGAAACAAAGAGTTATTTTCAGCACCACATCTACTCTTAAAAATCTATAAAGGAAAAAAGAACTTAAAAGTAGAAAAGTTTGGACATTGTGCCCATTAAATCATGGGGTAGACTAAGTTTTCTGGTACATCTGCAGAATAACTAATTGACTTATTGCAGATGAAGGCGCATTGGTCAGAGCAGCCAGGAATCTTCATTTTGTATTCACTGGAAGGACACCTGACTCAGTAATCATAGAATCTGTAAGTACATTGGAGTAACTTTGTTATTTGTGGTTTTTAGACTTGCTGTATTAAATAATTTCTGACTAACTGCATTATGGTACATATCTATTGAGATGCTAGTTGGGTTTGGTTCTTGCTTGAGGTTTTTTGCATTAATTCTTAATTTTTTTTTTTAATTCAGTTGGGACAGGAAGAGAGATACGAACTGCTAAATGTGCTGGAATTTACAAGGTAAAGAGCGTGTTGTGCATTTAGTGTCCTTTTGTAAAAATACTAATTTCTCTTGTAAATTAAAATGTTTGCTTTTTTATATTTGTACAGGCAAAATACGCAGGTTGTATGACTTATCTCTGTAACATGATCATACTGTAGGCAAAGCAGTGTACATGATTAAGATGACACTTCTGGTTTTATTGTAAAACATTTTCAGAGGCATATGTTTTTTCCTGTTGTCTCCTTTTTGGCTAATATTTTTCACTTCCACTTTTGCGTAAAGATTGAAAAAACCTTTGATCTCAAAACTTCAAAAGATTATGTGAAAAGAAAGTATAGGAAAGTACTTGAACTTTGAAATGTATTTCTGAAAGCCCTGGCACTATGTGATTTATTAAAAATTTTATATTTGAGGGTGGGAGGGGGAAGATTCAAGTAAGTGAATACATATACATAACTTGTGTTTGCCTTGATTGATAGAATGAAATTTTGTGCATAATTGCATAATTATGCATAATTATGACTTGTTTAAGTACTCTAGATTGAAACCCATCCTTTTCTGAGCAGCATCACTAGAGCGTTGGCCAGTTACTTTTCTTGGAAACAGAGTTTATCACGTAATTTGCTTTTGGTAAATAATTTTCTGTCAAAGCTGTCAGAATTATAAAGGTACTCATAAGAAATCTGGAAGCAGTTTCACTTGTTATGTGAATCTGTTTAAATTGTATCCATGTATGCCATCTGTGTTCTAAGTAGTTGTGTAGGCCCATTGCTTACTTTGGCACAAGATGAGGAAGGTATTTGTATGTAGAGGAAGCTCTTTTTTTTTTAGAATGATTATTTGTAATTGTGCTTGAGGAAAGTGAGCATTATTTTCCTTCCTGTCGTATTATGTTTCCCTTGAGCTTAGCTGAAGAAGCAAATCCAAGGCAATACTGGAGAGACAGCCTGAAGATATGTAGGTTGGGTGAAATGAGAATAGTTGCCTATAGTTATAATAATAGCAATAATAATCTGAAATATAAAGAAAGATCATCACAGTGAAAAAAAATGCAACAAAGTAATTTTTATAATTTTAAGTGTCTTTTACTGACTTCTCACAGTTAATATTGGTTTTATATATTGTAGAGGGCATACTTGAAATTTTTCAGATTTATGCCTTGGTTTCATTTTTCTGTAGGCATTTCTTGCTGTTCTGCAAGTATGTAGCACAAAGTGCGTTGTTAGTTTGACAGTTGTGAGAGGTCATACTGCATTCCTGGAGTAGCAGTGAAGGATTGTCTCCATTTGGACTACAAACTGGCTGAAGGAAAGAAGC